CAAAAGTACCAAATGCTCCAACTAAAAAAGTAGCAGATGCTTTAGAAGGAACCAATAGTGATCCTCCTGTTAGAGAAGAAGGGAAACCCCCCATTGTATTGAGAATATGTAAAGGTACAGCACGACTAGTCTATGGAAATATGCAGAACACTCAACAGTCAGAATCTGAAACATATAGAATTTCTACACCTCTTATCAGCCCCACGAAAGTAGATATGGAACGTAAAAACTTTAATGTAGATATGACTGTTAAATCTGATCATAAGGCAGTTCGTTCTCAAGAACCTATTATCTCTACTGTATCAATACCTTTAGAAAATTCAGAAATGCGCAGAACTACCCGTAGTCGAACAAAGAATCTACAGTTAGATTTAACAACAACATCTTCTATTGTATCTACAGCACCAATAACACCTAATTCACACAGTTCTGGTCTTTCTTTAACCCTTAGAAAATCTGTTACTGATTCCAACAATACATTGATATCTCATTATGATATTGTTAAGACTGATTGTGGTTCTACATATTCTTGTAAGCCAGCAATTGAACCATTAATTGGGCGTGATCAACCACTGCCAACTACAACTCAAGAATTAATTGATATATTGTCAAGTGATTCTGACCCTATGCAAACAAGACCGATAATAATAAATACTTCAGAGACTCAAGAAAATACAGAAGTCGTTCCAGGTGAAGTTCAACATTGTTCTATAGATATTCCAACAAATGAAGTAGTTTCTGGACCTGCTTTGCAACATGAACCAAAGTTAGAACCAGTACCAGAACCAGAACCAGAACCAGAACCAGAATCAGGACCAGGATCAGGACCAGGACTAGAACCAGTGCTAGGATCAGGAACAGAAACAGAACCAGAAGCTGAACCAGATCCAGGTCCAGAACCTGATCCTGAAGTAGAAACAGAGCAAACTGCACGTATTATTGATAATGACACAGCTACAGCTAAAACTTTAGTTGATCAAGATTGGTTTTCTGGGAGTGATGACAGTGAAGGTGTAAGTGGTAATACAGAAAATGATATAGCATTACATGTAACTAGTACTGTCACAGAATCACAACCATTAAATACTTCATGTACAACTATTCAGAAACCTGCTACTAAAAAAGGTAGTATTTTTAAAAGTCGTTCAACAGGTGCAACAAATGGAAATAAAAGAAGAGCATTGTATAAACACAAGTGGTGTGATAGTGATAAAGAATCTGGTACTACAGATACTTCTAATGTTGGAAATAGTACACCTACTATTGCTTCAGGATCTCATAGTGGCACAGATCCTGTAGTTTATGAAGAAGAATTCGATCCATCACAGTTAACAAGAGTTGTAACATATCCTGAAGCTGATATAGGTTTTGAAGATGAATCTGATGCCATAACTAGCGTTCGCTGTGGTAGGAAAATAAAAGGAGTATGTATATTGTAAACTTTATATATCATAATGTATTGATTTTATTAAATTTGATATTAAATAATACTTATTTTTTTAGTTCTATACTGTAGTAAAAAATGTGAAGAAAGCTCATCAAATTCAGGAAAGTGGAGAGTTTCAAGAGTTTAATGATGATGTTGAATATATATTAGACACTTTAAGAGAAAACAATCCAAATGCTACTCGTTGCCTTTCAGCTATAAGATTGGCAAGTAAATGTATGGCACCTGCATTTCGTATGCATGTACGTGCTCATGGTACTGTTGCTAAATTCTTCAAAGCTCTTCATGATGCAACGAAGGATCAGGTATAAAATTTTATTTTTACACTATGTAATGTATATAAATTTCATCAGTTTTAATAATTATTTAAATGACTCTATGTATTTTGTAGAGTCTTGCTCTATGTACAGCAACAGTAATGTTTGTATTAAGTCAAGATCGTTTAGCTATGGATTTAGATCGCGATTGTTTAGAATTAATGTTAAGTTTGTTAGAATCTGATGCCAGTCACAAAGATGCACTTGATGATTGTGGCCTTAGTCGGGCAGAACTTCTAAAAAATAAAGAAAAAGTACGTCAGTTATGTGCTGATATTCAAGCTCAAGGACATGCAAAACATTTAAATCTTGATAATATAACTGTAAGTATTATTTTTATTCATAATTATCGGGAAATAAATAGAAATAAATAGAAAGTAAGTAAAAAAGTACGTAACAAATTATTTCTAGGTTGGTCAACTTGCTATGGAGACACTTCTTAGCCTTACGTCAAAACGTGCAGGTGAATGGTTTAAAGAAGAACTTAGAGAATTGGGAGGTTTAGAACATATTGTAAAAACAATCAGAGATTGTCATCGCCATATTAATACCCAAAATATTACGAAATCTGGCTGGACAGATCCATTATTAGACAAATTACGTAAAGTTGATAGATGTTTACGTGTATTAGAAAATGTGAGATATGTGTTTTTATATAATGATATAATACTTTAAGTAGTACTTTTAAAGTTTATAATAATATACATATTTTTTTTACTGAAATTGTTTTAGGTTACTCATATGAATGAAGAAAATCAAGTATATTTATTAAAATATGAGAATGGAGTTTTAGTCAGCACTTTAGCAAATTTATATTATCTCTGTGGACAAGAAATTCCTATATATCCTACTATAGATCCAAGCGATAAAACTTCCACTGGTGCTGTTATTAGAGAATGCTTATTTGCTATTATTAAAGTTCTTATTAATCTTACACATCGATTTAATAGACAATGTAGGATTTTATTATACTGTATTCTTAAAAAATTTTAATTTTTACAAGTGTATAATGCAATGATTTATAATTATTTTAGCTTTCGGAAGTAAATCACTAGGCTCGCAACCAGGTGTTCTAGATTGTAGTTTGTATCTTTTATTGCGCGTTCCCGAATCACTTCCTGAAGAAAAACGTTTTGATATGATGATGTTAGCTTTGATTTTATTGATAAATTTAGTAGAACAATGTGATGATAATAAACAACTGCTTATTGAATCTAAAGCTCCGCCATCAACAGAAAATATTTTTGACAGTGGGTATTTTGCATATTATATTCTTTCCACAACAATGTAACTCTAATATATTCTTTTAATATAATTAATATATTTTTTTTTCTACAAAATAGCAGAAGAAAGTGGAGTAGAGTGTTTAATCGATCTATTTTATAAACAAGAAGAATTGGCTCGTGCAGAAGAACAAAAAACTGATGCTATTTTAGATGGTAAAAAAGATTCTGAGCAAACAGAGACTGTATCAACAACAACAAAATCTCAAGAAGAATTCATTGAAGAAACTGTCACAAAATGTTTGTATAGTTCTTTTTTAAAGTATTATAAATTTTATAAAATATAATTTTAGAAATTTCTTTTTAGTATTACAAAAAGCAGGACGTCATATGGAACATACTTTAATAGGAGCATACGTAGTGCTTCTACTTGGTTACTTAATAATGGATAATAAGGTAATAATTTTAATTTTTAAAATGACAATAGTAATACTACAAAAAAAGATAATGTAATACATACATTTCTAGGATTATGAATTGTTGGTACGTAGTAGACTTCCAGATAATAATTTTACTACTATGGTGTCTGTACTTCAGAAATTCTTCAATTTTATGAATTTAACGGCGTCGGTAATTATTTTTAATATTATTTCTTTATACATATTTACAAAAAATTATCAAAAAATTTGAGTATATGAATAATTTATTTTAGAATGAAGTAAGCAGCTGTGGAATTGCTGCTACTGAGAAGGTGATTAAGTTCCTAAAAGTCTCAGATGCCCGTATTGAAGAAGAAAAAAGTGAATTACCATTATCAGCGTTAGAAGATCCAAACATAATGCTCCACTTATCTTCGTCTTGATTGATATCATATTTACACATTTGATATTTTTTATTACCCTGGCATGCAAAAAGAGCCAAAGTTATATGTGTCCAACGAAGGAAATTCTATCTACTACAGTATGAATGGACCTGTTTCATATTGACCATATATTTTGATATATATTTATTCACTTACGTAATTTATTGCTGTACCTTTCATTAAATTGACTTATTTTCCCAATCACAGTAACAAGTTAGATATTAAGCATAAGTTAATTAATTATTTAGAAACTAATACGATAAAAAACGCGCCTTGTAATTACGCATGCGAAACTTAAATTTTTTAATGGCACGTATATTATTAATTTGCTTTGCCAATCAATCACTTTTTTTTAATTTTGTGACTGTCAAGAAGAATAATGATTTGTACACTTCTTGTCAGATTATAATTCGTTTGCTGTATAATAATGCATAAATTTTAAATCTTTCCATTATTTTGAAATTTCAATTTATTTTATGTTTTAAGTTTTATTACAAGATTGGCGGTGTTGGGTTTTATTACAACCCATTTAAATTTGATATAGCATTATTTTGTAAGTTTATTTTAATATTAAAATTATACTATAAGAGCCTTGTAAATGTAAATTTATAAATTATAATTGTATCTTAAATTTGCAGTTTCGAGTTATTGGATCCCATTAAAAGGTACAGAATTTCACGAATCTTTAATATCGTATTTTGTCTCACAATTTTAAAGAAATAAAAAATATATTACATTGTTATATGTATGCAATAAACTAACTTCATAAATTACAAATCTGTAAAATAAACCATTTTTTTTGTTGTAAAAATCAAAACATAAACATATACATTTTGTATTAAAATATATAGAACATAATTTCAAGATGTTAAAAATATTTTTTTTTACAAAAATATTTTCTATTTTGTAGATCAAAATTAATTTAAATAATAATTAAATAATAAATAAAAGATTGTCTTTTTATTTTAAAAAGAAATATTTTTAGAAATATATATTTATTTACATGTAACTGTGTTAACTTTGAACACAATTTTTGAATTGCGAAAAATTGAAAATTGAACTTAAAATGTATCAACATTTCTGTTAGTATGAGCGCATAATCATGTATTTATACTATATGCGTGCATATTAAATCAACAATATTAATATTTTAAAAAAATTTTAGAAACGATTTTTTTAATCAAAAATTAGGAAACATATATATTTAGCTTAACGTTAAATATATGATTCGTAAGATGAGCAATGAATTTATATAGGCTCAATGTGTATAACGTGGTAATTTAAAATCTGATTAATTTATAGACTAATTCATAGACTAGTAATAAAATAAAATAATGTATAAATACACAATAATACATAATAAAATGTTAGCTACATTTGTTTTTTCGAAGTAAGTATTTATTTGTGTAATTTTAGTAACTTTGTTAACCTATCAATTCTGTATAAATTGCATAATACGTCAAAATAATAATATTAAATAATTTATTTTTAGGAGTATCAAAACTCAAATTACATTGCCACTTCAATGGTTAAATATTACATTTAATACATTAAGAACTAATTCATCATTTTCATCTGACTCTTCTGATTCTGATTCTGATTCCGATTCTACAACTTCTAATATTAGTAATGTAAATATTTTTATTTCCTTTAATACTAAACACTTTTTTTTTATAATATATATGTGTGTGTTTGTAATTTTTATTCCATATTATTTTTTTCAGAAAAAATTTAGTATAGATTATTTACAAAGTGCAAAGACAGTACGAAAAAAAAGACAAATAGGTAAGAGATTTTGAAACAGTCAAATAGGTAAGAGACAGTTTATTTTGAAATAGATACATAGTAAAATAAGAAATTCTCTATCACAGAAAATGCATTAACCCAAGCAGCTAAAGCTTTAACTACAACATCTGTCCAAGATAAAGAAAAAATTCTTTCAGTTTTATTAAATACTATTGATAAAATTCAGACTGTAGACAAAACATTAAATGAGAGGTTTAAGTATAATTTTTTTAAATTAAATTATACTTTTATTTTGTATATATAACAAATAAAAATAAAATATCAATTATGCTGTTTATAGTAATATAGATAAACATGAAGTTAGAAAGGAAGATGAATCTTTGTGGCATCAAAATAACATTGAAACTATTAACAATTTTAAAACAAAACTTCATCATAATGTATCACAGTTTAAAGAGATGAAGTTTAATAGAGAAGAGCTTGAAAAAATATATAAAACAGGAAAAGAACCATCTATAATTCATGAATTAAAGAGTCAACAAAAAGGAACAAGGGATATCAATGATAAGTCTGAAAGAGAACCATCTATAGTTCATAAATTAAAGAGTCAGCAAAAAGGAATAAGGGATATCAGTAGTAAGTTTGAAAGAGAACCATCTGTAATTCATGAGTTAAAGAGTAAGCGAAAAGAAATAAAGGATATCACTGATAAATTTGAAAGAGAACCATCTATAATTCATGAGTTAAAGAATCAGCAAAAAGAAATAAAGAATATCAGTGGTAAATTTGAGAGAGAACCATCTGTAATTCATGAGTTAAAGAATCAGCAAAAAGGAATAAAGGATATCAGTGGTAAATTTGAAAGAGAACCATCTGTAATTCATGAGTTAAAGAGTCGGCGAAAAGAAATAAAGGATATCAATGATAAATTTGAAAGAGAACCATCTATAATTCATGAGTTAAAGAATCAGCAAAAAGGAATAAAGGATATCAGTGGTAAACTTGAAAGAGAACCATCTGTAATTCATGAGTTAAAGAATCAGCAAAAAGGAATAAAGGATATCAGTGGTAAACTTGAAAGAAAACCATCTGTAATTCATGAGTTAAAGAGTCAGCAAAAAGGAATAAAGGATATTAGTGATGGAATACAAATGAATGAGAGGTTGTATATTTTATTTTACAAAACGAAAAATTTATAATTAAAATAATTTATTTATAATTTTTTATTTTAGACTCTTCGATGATTTTTCGGAAAATCCCGATGTCCCTAAATTTAAGATGTGGGAATCCTGGGAAAGGGAGGAACTCGAATTTTCATTATCTAAATTCCCTACAAATGGAATTCAACAAATGATTCAATGGACTAAAGAAGGAAAATTATGGAAATTTCCTATAGATAATGAACAAGGTATTCAAAAAGTTTAGAATGCTTATACTTTAGAATTATTATTATTTTATACGTTATCATTATAACTTATAAATATACTTTTTTATAGGAATGGAAAAGGAAAAAAATGTGCATTTCTCAAAACATGTGTTTTTAGAACGTCATTTGACGCCATGGTGTCCTAAAGGTCCAATACGGCATTTTATGGAATTAGTGTGTATTGGACTTTCAAAAAACCCATATCTGACAATTGAAGAAAAATATGATCATATAATGTGGTACAAAGATTACTTTCAAAATAAACATGACTTATTAGATAAATTAGGTCTTCTAGAATAGATCAAGAAATTAAATATAACTCTTTTTAATAAATAAAGATGAAATAAAACAATATACATATATTTATATAGTTATTATTTGTTAAAGATATTTTATATACATTTTACTTTCATCACGTTTGATTTAATCTTCAGTACTCTCATTGACAGTAATACTGCCAAATGTAAATGAGCATTGAAATAACAAGCTGGAATAATAAGAGTTAATAATTTAATTTCACTCCAATTGAAATAATAAGGGTTAATAATTTATAAAAATTAAAACGTTATTAGAATATAAAATAATGTTGTAAAATATATAATATATAAAAATATCAATATTTTAAATAGAAATAAATGTAATAATTAAATTGGATTTAAATATTTAAAATAAATTAATTTGTCAAAAAAAAGGTGTCAAATGCAATATGCATCTTCAGTCGAAATCGATTGGCACGTGTTACTTTTCTTTGACCAATACGCTGATGCTACGACACTTTTTGTCCACGGTCCAGGGACTTTTCTCAGAGCATGAGAGTCACTGAGAATTCCGATTGTGGCTCCGTCACGTTACTCGAGGGACCTTTTCGAAATCGATTGATTCAAGTGAGCGGTCTTTTATAGGTATAGGTTAATTTACATCGATTTCAAAATTACTGAAAAAGATGATTGAAGCTGAAAATATTGAAGATCAAAATGGATTACGCCCAGATGGTAGACGGGCATTAGAATTAAGGCAAATTCGTGTAAAAATGGGAGTTTTTGGCCAAGCTGATGGAAGTGCTTATATTGAACAGGGTAACACTAAAATTTTGGTTACCGTGTATGGACCTCACCAGGTTAACAAGTTATATTATAATTTTCATATTAATACATTGAATCATATACGATTGTTATATTTATTTAGCCAAGAGGTTCTACAGGAAGAAGCACAAGTAATATTACTAAAGGTATAGTAAATTGTCAATATAGCATGGCAGTGTTTAGTTTATCTTCTGGAGAACGTAAACGCAAACCAAGAGGTGATAGAAAATCGCAAGAAAGATCTCTTCAATTAAAACATGCAATGGAAGCCATAATACATTTAGAAATATATCCACGTTCACAAATAGATATTTATGTAGAAGCATTACAAGTTGATGGAAGTGAATATTGTGCATCTGTAAATGCAGCTACACTTGCTTTAATTGATGCTGGAATTCCTATCAAGGTAATATAAGACAAAACATATATTTTACGATTTTCATTGAAAAAGACTTTTGTAATTAAATTTATTACTACTTTATTCTTGCAGAATTATGCTATAGGTTGCACTGTAACATTAATTAATAATCCATCTTTAGAAGATGAAGATAATACATTAGGGAAAGGAGTACTAGATGCAAATTATGTTGAAGAATGTACTCCTGGTGTTACTTTGTCTGTTGTCTCATTACCAAATAATGATAGTACATCAAAAGATGGTTTGATAGTAGTAGCACAAGGAGCAGGCCAAAGATTACACTTATCTCAATTTGAGTCTTTAAAAGCTCGTGTATTATGTGGATGTCAAGATATAAGAACTATTTTAGATTATGCAGTCAGAGAATATTTAACAGAACAATCGCTTCCTTCTCTTTTTCATGTTGCATTAAACTAGGTATATTAAAAAAATTGTATACATAAAATGTCAAATACAAAATTTTTTTTTTCATAAAAATCATATACAAAATTATTTTTTATATATCATTCTTAAAATATATATATATTTTTTTATAATATCTTCTAATTATATTATACAGAATTTGTTTTCATCTTAAACTAATATTTGCATTTTTTTAAAAATATTTATATTTCTTTTTTTCTTGCTTCAATCTTAAATTTTAGCACCAGGATATCTTTCCATGATCATACCAACACCCTGTAATTTATTTGATTATTAAAATAAATTTATTTAATATAAATATAGGATATTAATAATAATAGTTATATTTTTTATATTTTATATTACCTGTCCTCCAGCTGCACAAGCTGCAATTAATCCAAATTGTTGATCTTCTTTAATTAGTCGATTCGCAGTATGTGTAGCTAATCGAACACCAGTTGCTGCAAATGGATGACCAATTGACAACGATCCACCCCATGCATTCCATTTATTAAGATCTGGTATTCCTACTTTTGAAGATCTTCCTAAATAATTTTGTGCAAACCAATCAGAATCTAATGCTTTTAAATTAGCTAAAATTTGTCCAGCAAAAGCTTCATGTATTTCCCATACTCCAATATCCTTAATATTTAATTTTGCTTTTTGCAATACCTATTAATTTATTCAAAAATTTTGTATTAAAATTCTAAATATATATACTTAATGTGATTATCAAAGTGTTACCTGTGGTATAGCGTAGGTTGGACCTAAAAGTAACTGATCAACAGGATCTTGGGAAACATAAATAAAATTTCTTAAATATGCTTTTGGAGTAAGACCAAGTTGAAGAGCTTTTTCTTCTGTCATTATCAAAGCCGCTGATGCTCCATCAGTTAAAAAAGATGAATTAGCAGCGGTAACTCCTCCATATGGTTTGACAAATGCTGGTTTTAATTTTGCTAACTGTTCAGATGTTGAAACACGAATTCCGTTGTCTTTGTCTACTACTCTACTTTCATTTGGAACTAGAAAAGATACATAGGAACACATCTAAAAGGTAAAATTTATTCATTTCATTCTATCTGATACTACCTTTATAAGGTACTATATCTGTAAGATATCCCTGTTGTTGTGCTTTAGCAGCTAAAGTATGTGAACGTAAAGCATATTCATCTTGTTCTTCTCTTGAAATTCCAAATGCAGCTGCTAATCTGTCACCGCTATGTCCCATTGTTTCATTACTAGAAAATTCTGCTACTGCAGGTAACTATAATTATATAAATACAACTAAATGTAATATATAAGTAGATACAATTAAAATATAATTTTACTATGAAAGATAACATACATCTGGTACAAAATGTGATGGTCGAATGCTAGCAAGGAGCTGTAACTTTTGTCCAACTGTTTTTGCCTTATTAGCTTGTAACATCAGTGATCTCATGCGTCTATTATGTCTAATTGGTATATCCGACATGAATTCTACTCCACCTGCAATGATTGCCTCATACACACCACATGCAATTAAACCCATACCAGTTGTAAGAGCTTGATTACTACTGATGCATGCCATAGTTACAGTATGTGCAGGAGTACGATCACTATATCCTGCTGCTAAAGCTGCTTCCCTAGCGATATTTGAAGTTCTCACTTCTTGCATTACCGTTCCATAAATAATGTATTCAATAATTTCTTTAGGAAATTTAATTTTATTTTGCAAGGCCCTTATAATAGAACATGATACATGATTAAAACTGAATTAGTACCAAAAATAAAATTAAGCGCTTAGATTAACTTACACTAATGACTGTCTGGCTAAATCATATGCCATCAAGTTTTTATAACTTGTTCCAGATTGCAAAAATGGTGTTCTTACACCGTCAATATATACAATATTTTTAGCAGCATGATTGCTTTTAGTTGCATAAAATTTGTTTGACCTTAAATTATTTATTGCAGAACCTAAAACAAATACAAGAACCTAGAGTAATATTTTATATTTAAAAAACCAATTATATTCATATTATATTGTATATATTAATTAATAAATAAATGTATGTATGATAATAAGTATCTGTGTAACAGCATTAGTATAAAAAAAATTTAATACTAAGAATTTTAAATAAATTTATTGATTGAATATTTGTTAGCAAAAAGTCATTATATATCATAATAAATCAATTAATATAAAAAATTATCAAGTAATTTTCATTTCAAACTTTGTATTTTGTCTAATTAAGAATCGCTTATGAATCGTATTTGTTTTTATTGTTTTTTACATTTATATTGCAAAATGATTCAACATACCATACTTAAGAAAGCTTTTTTTCATTAAAAAACTATTTTTTGCGAGAGAGTGCATGTTTAGAAAATCAGTTTGGATTTCACAATTTAGAAAAGTAAAAAAAATTTCTTTTATATATCAGTATTTCTTTATATGTCACTATTCTTTTTTATTAGTTACTTCACTCATCTAGTATAAATTGCTGGACACGACGTGTAAAGTACTTTGAACTTATACCTCAGATCTTATTCTCATAATATTTTTAACTGCTTTTATACTTACATAAAAACTAGCTTAATGTAGAAGTGCGGGAAAAGTGACAGATTTTCCCGCTTACGATTATACGTATGAACGATTTACACTTTTGTGTGTAATAAATATTGATTTCATGCAGTTTCAGAATGAATTTAGTGCATTCTATTGTGGAACGTGAGAAAGGATTTGGTAATTGCATTTCATGATTATATATAGTAAAAGATTTTTAAATATATTGCGAATATAAACTGATAGGTTATATCCAACATAGTATTTAAACGTAATGGTCGATATATATATTTGTGTTTCATATGTGATATCTGATTTTAAAGATAAAATATGAATTTTGAAGAAATAACAAATTTTTTTTAGCATCAATACGCGATTATGACGTTGCTTTATATCGTTTGAAATGTTATGAAAACGATGTATATAGAGGTATAACACCAAATACAAATGCATTGGATTTTAATCCAGAACCACCAGTTTTTGCATGTCGGTTTTGTACTACAAAAGGATACGAACAAATAATTGCTTTAGCAAATGAAGATGGCAAAGTTGCATTACAAGATACAAACATCAAATGTATATCCAATCAGCCATTGGAAGGAACACAGGTATGATATTAAAGTGTCATAAAAAATGAAAAATTATAAATTCAGGAATTATAATTTTTTATTTACAAAATCAAATTAATATAAGATATTGGAATCTTTTAGGCACATCGTAATGCAATATTTGATGTTGCTTGGATGCCAGGAGAATTAAAATTAGTTACAGCATCTGGAGATCATACTGCCAGACTTTGGGATGTATCTGGTTCTGAAATAAAACAAATTAATTGTTTTCATGCTCATACAAGAAGTGTTAAGACTGCAGTATTTCGTTATCAGGATCAAGGTATCTCTGTAATAATATTTCACATGTTTTAGCAAAACAGAATATTAATTTTTAAAAAAATGTGTCCTAAATATGTCTTATAGCTGTCTTTGCAACTGGAGCTAGAGATGGTTCTATTATGGTATGGGATATTAGAGCTAATCATTATGAACGTCCTAAACCAGATAATTGTATTGCGAATGCACATAATGTTGGAACTATAAGTAACGCACGACAGCGTAGAACAATCAGTCATGCATCCAGAGCACAAAGTATTACTGGGTTGGTATTTCAGGATGATTTCACTTTAATTTCATGTGCTGCTGGAGATGGGTAAGTTTATTAGTGTATATATATATAATTACTATATTAATAAATAAAATGACAATTATATTATTAATACAGTTTAATAAAAGTTTGGGATTTGCGTAAAAACTATACTGTTCACAAAAAAGATCCTTTAGCTAAACATGCAATGAATTATACTGGGCATAGTACAAAAAATGGATTTTCATCATTGTTAATATGTCCTGCTAGAATTACATTATATGCTAGTTGTATGGATAATATCATATATGCGTATAATATATCATCTTACAGTTCTAAACCAAGTAAGAATAATAGTAAAAAGTATATTGATGTGAAATATTAATAATATTACTATTATTTTTTTTTGTATATATCAGTTGCAGAATTTTATGGACATCAAAATCGTACATACTATGTTAAAACTTGTTTAAGTCCGGACGGGCGTTATCTTGCTAGTGGTTCCAGTGATGAACTTGCATATATTTGGCATACAAACAAACCAGGAGCTCCAATTGTGCAACTCTCAGGACATACAGAAGAAGTTACTTGCATCGCTTGGTGCAGTGTTCGAGAAACAAAAGTATTAAAAACAATGTTATTATTATTTCATTCTAATATTAAAATTTATTATATGTAATATTAATATTTTTGAAAATTATGCAGATAGTAACATGCTCTGACGATTCATGCCATCGAATATGGAGAGTTGGCTATGAACATAAACTAGATAATGAAGAGATACAAATACGTGGTCGTGCAGAAGCTATTTTTAATAGAAATCCTTTGGATAATTTAAAACTCGAAACTACACCAACTACGCGACGTTGGATTACACTTCAAGAGCATACACCAGGATCTGATATCACGCCTAGTAATTATAAAATAATTTAAAATATCTATATAAACTAACTATATTACTAACTAAATATCTATATAAACTAACTATATTACTAACTAAATATCTATATAAACTAACTATATTATGTCAACAGAATATTATTATCTTTTTTGTGTTAGATACTACACCTGGACCAAGTTCATTGGATGTTTACAATCAAATGGAAGATAATCAAGATCAGTGTAATGTTAGTACTTCAATGAAGAAAAGTTATTTTCAAATGATGAATGGATCCTGGTCTGATGGAAAATTTAAGTCAGTTTTATCTCCAATACAAGAGAATCTCACATTAGATCGTGTTGCAAAACGTATTCATTTAGAAAATCGCGGTGCACGAAGATTGTTTAGTCCGTGTAATAATAACAACTTGTCATTGAACAGAGGCTATGAATCTGATGAGCCAAGCACAAGTTCATCTAGTAGAGAAAATAAAAATAACGAAATTCATTTTTCACCTACATTAAATCTTCCAAATTTTGTGATTGATGGTACAGCACCACATTTACTTCAGTTATCTCCAGAAAAGTACAAAGAAAATGTTGATTGGTTAACGAGAATACGAAGAGAAAAATATGAAAAAGTAAGGAAAGCAATGTCAGAAAAGTCGGCTAGTCCTATTTCTTGTACAATGTCTGCTAAAAGAAATACTAGGTCACGTTCAACAGAACCGCAGAGAGTATCTAAAATGCCGAGAAATTCACCTCTTTCCTTATTAAATTTCTTTAAAGTTACTGGAAAGGACTGTGAAACAAATATATGTTACGATGATACTAATGTAATATCTTCTGCAAAATCTTAAAAACATCATGATTTTTCGTAATTGTTATATTGTATTTTATCTGTGTTAAATTCCGTATGAAACTTTTATTAAAAATGTTTTTTAACAAAAAATTACATTCAAAATATTAATCAATGAATGTGATATAAACATCAGCGCGCTTTCTATTGTTTATGATGTGGTACCTTACAAAAATACCTTACAAAAATAAGTAGAATTTAAATAACATATAAGATAAGAATGACATAACATACAAGTATTACAAAATATGTAACAATAGATTATAGTCACAAGTGTCATAGTATATCTTTTATATGCAATAAATTATTTTTATATTATATAATTAAAATAAAGCTTTAATTTTTTATATTTAATATTTAGTTTTAAGATCGTAAGAAATGAAGGTTTAGAACAAATAAATAGATATTTTCAATTTTATTTACATCATATATATTTTTTGTTAACTGTTCAATTGAGAACAAAATACTTTTACTGCTCGTGAAAGCAATTTAATTTCAACCGATTTTAGTTCATACTCTTCATTATCGATATATAATGTATAGTTTTTATCAACCTATAAATAAATTAACATACAGAAATTAAATAATTAAAATTTTGAAAATTCAAACAATAAAATTTTACCTTTTGTGGAATTAATTCAATTTTTTTTGCTTCCACTACTTGATTACATAGTGATTTATTATTTTGTTCTTTTTTCCAACCTTTAGACACAAAGGAAAAATAATTAACATCCTCTGGACCTATACAATAAAAATAATTTTTCATGAGTAATTATTTTTCCAAATATTTATATTTTATTATATATTTATCTAATTACCAATTTTCACTTTTAAAGATGGCGATAATTCAACTTTTGTCTTGTCTATATTAGAAGTTTCTACATACAATTCACAAGTTGATACAGGTAGTTCATGAAGAATATCACATTTTTCATTTATTCTTTTACTAAAATCAATACTATCTAAAAAGTATAGCATTCTGTAATTACTTTGAGATATTATATGTATTTTGTATAATAGTATATACCTCTAGTAATAGTACTTCTTGGTAGAAATACATGCCACCACCTTGTATTTAAGTTGGAAATTAAATTTTGACTACAACGAGAACAACCTTCACAAGGAAGTGTATATTTTAATATTGCATCGCAATATTTGTTTAAATTTTCTTTAGGACCATTAAATATATAAGTCACATATCTAAACAATAAATATTAGATAATATAAATTTAAATTAATGCAAATATTATACAGGCTCCAAAGTATTAAAGTAAAAATATATATACTTTCTTAAAAATCCCCAGTACCAATATTTATTAGCAGAAGCATTTGCATCTTTCCATGCACCCCATTCAACTGCTCCCATGGCATAAATCGGTTTTACTGGTTCTTCACAATTATCCTTTAATTATAAAACAATATAAGATTTAAAATTAATAAGAAAATTGCAAATTTGCTATGTATATAACAGAAACATACTTCAATAGGTTTAACTTCAATCATATCCATCATTTTACATTCCTCATGTATGATTGCCATTGTTGCCTCTATCATTTGTTTTATATCAGACAAATCATCATACTCATGATATAAAGATTTTGCAATTCTGTTTGTTTGTCCCAATGGTAAAATACCAATAGGACATTGTTTAACTGAGTTAAGATTGAGATCATATTTCCTCACTAATCCAGTTAAAACATCAGATAAAGTACCATCACCTCCTGCAACTATAATAGCATCAGTAGGAGTATTTAGATTCATTATGATTTTACGAGCATCATTTTGTGACTCTGTCTGTATTATAGTTACAGCAATTCCAGCTAAATGCAAAAGTGGCTCACAATATTTCTCAAATAATTTTTTAGCTTTCCTACAAGTAATAATAAGAGTTAATTAAGAATTAAATCATAAATAGATTGCTAATTCTGAAATTGAATTTAATCAAACCCTTTTTTAGCAGCTGGATTTAAAATAACAGTAACATGACGTGGTTTTATATTTGTTGAAAGTGGAAGATCGCCATATTGTGATATATTTTCACAATGTTGTCTCATTAATTGATTAACACTGAAAATATTATCATTTTTCAATATCACCTCAATAATAAAATGTAGTTACCAATTATAAGATTAAAGTTATATCTTACTCGTATACTTCCTTACTATATGAAAATCCATATGATACAGCTGCACATCCCACAAGAGATTTTTTCCAATTATTTCTTATAGTTCGCAAAAAATTCAATATTTTGGCCATTTTTCAAACACTTATATTTTCAATAACATAACCTTAATAAAGCTGTACTTCATATATCATTATAAATAACATTTGAAAACGATTAAAAACTTCAAAAGTGTACAAAGAAGATTATTTAAGGTAAATAAAGTTCGTATTTTTTTCATTTTACATAAAACTTAATTTCTATCATCTGTAATAAGATAATTTCAATTTTAATAATACACATGTCTGTTGGAAATTTGTGAAACATGACATTTTAAAACTCACACTTCAAAAAGTTTTTAAATTTATGAAAATTTGTTTAAAAACTTTTCAATTTTCAATTCTTTTAACCACGCGGTTATTATCAAATGTGTGTATTATACAAATTAAATGGAGTGTAATCGTGTTTTGTACAGTGTACAATTAAATGGAGTGTACACGTGTTTTGTACAGTTTACAATTGCAAATTGTTTTAAATTTCACATGTAGAATATTAACAAATATTATTAGTTTGAGTGAAATTATTATTTTTTAATTTATCCCTCTTTATTGCTAACAAACGGTAAGATAATATAATCTAATTTGATGTAATATTTAAATTTTATATTATCGTAAATGTAAAGAAAATATACAAATTTTATAATTGCTCTATCTATGATCTTGAAATCACAAAAATTGTTTCATTATACAATTTAATTATTTTTTATCATTAGATTGATCATAGATGTAATTTATTTGTTCAGAGGAAAGACTCTTTATGTGAATTTGTCCGCTCTATGTGCTATCGTAAAATAGAAAAATTTCAGATATAGATCAATAGGGATATTATAAATTCTCTTTTTCTTTGTATTTCATTTCTCAAATAGAAGACGGTAGACAGTAGACAATAAGTTTATGTTAATATACACTCGAATGTATCGCAGTATTAAGCGCAGTGGATGAAGCCGTTCAAGCTTCAAAACTTAAGCTCAATAGCACTGCTATAAGCTAACAATAAACCACCTTCATAAGTATCAGCCATTTTATCAGTTAATTTCATTAAAAAAAAAAGAAAAAAAAAAAGAAAAAAAAGGGCACCAATAGTAAATTTATGTAATACGTAAATGTGTGAATTTTTTATTTGTACATTTAGATATGTGTAAAAATAATATCATGTTTATATGGATGACAGGTCAGTGCAATTATTATTTTAATTTTATCACTTGTCGATGTATAGTTAACTGTATTTTCTAAAACGCATTAGCTAAATCTAATGCTTATATTGTGCCTACTCTAATATTTTGCAAATGTTGCATATGTTTTATGTCCTATGTTATATTAAGAAGATCATGTATCTTAGAAAATTTGTTTAATAACAGAATAATTAATGATGCATTAGATAGGATATAATTTTACGTGGATTAAACTATTGGTATTTTAAATACTTTATTCATACCATGCATTACTGTATCTGTGTGTAAAATTAAGATAGTATAATTGTAGCAACTTGAATATATAATTTATTTATTCTTGAAATATCCAATCTTAAGATCTTTTCTTAAAAATTGTTTTCGTTTTTAAGTGTTAATCATTATTCATGTATCATTAAATATCAATGTACAAGGTATGATTGTCGTGATACAATTGAATATTAGGTAAAATTTATATTAAAATTAATTAGACATAGAGTTTTTGAGAAAATTGGTTTAAAAGAAACTCTAAATGTGCATATGCATGTACTTGAATGATCTTTACATAAAATTTTATGTAGAAGATTAACAGTAAACTTAAAAAATATTGAAAACTTTAATAACATAAAAAATTATAAAATACTTTTCAGCATGAATCATGTTGAAGTCATTAATGAATTCACATTGGTTATAGTTTTGAATCAACTAACAAGATTAATTTTTTTTTAAATTACTTTTAAAATTCTAGTTGTATAAAAAATAATTACTAATCCAGAAATTAATTTTTATTTGAGTGCATGCACATTTAGCATATTTTAAAATTAATATTTTGGAGAATAAAGTATGAAATAAAAACAATTTCACTGTATTTCCATTCATTTATTCTCTAATTATTTAATTTACAGTTCCTACTTATTATGTTGGTTATATTATATATTTTTAGTTGGTTATATCATCATAATGATTACATTGTGTATAAATGTATTAAGTTAAATACAATATTTATGTAAGTTTATATTACAGGTAAAGTTAAATTATAATATATATATATATATATATACTGATAAATGTAAAGTACAAGCGAAACATTTATTATACAGAAGACCTTAATTTGGTGATAGTAAAAGATGGATTCTAATAATTATCATAAAGTGTGTAAAGAAGTAGATAACATTGAATTATCTACATCTAATAACGAAGCAAATGAAGTAAAAGTACAACTTGTTGAATCTTTGATTGATAACAAATGTGGTGGTAATAAAAAGAATACATTCGAAAACAATCAGAATGAAGACTCTTTAAGAGAAACATCATTTTCTATTTTTAATTCTGCAACATTGCCAGAAGCAACCACCTCACAGGACAATACTTCAACTTCATCAAATGATATTGAACCAAATTCTCCTTCTAGCAATCAAAATAAGTGTAAAAGAAGTATTTCAAAAGGTATTGTAATAATATTTTAGCAACTTACATCAGAGTTCATAATTTACTTTATATTTATTGATTTTAACTTATAGCTCAAGTAAATGATGATAATTGTGATGATAGTAATAATTCTAATAAAGAGTCAAGTAAACATCAAAAGTTAAATGAAAATGTTTGTAATAAATCAAAATCTGAAAATAAAATAGATAATGCACAATTAGTAAAGGAGCCTAAGGATAGTTGTAGTGAAGAAATTACTGAAGATGTTGAAATGAGACCAGGTAAATGGTTGAAAAGAGATATATAACATTTAAAAAATTTTGATACTACATTGTATTTAAATGTAGAAAATGAAGAAGCTGCAGCTCTTAGGGAAACAAAGAATCATGAAGAAGGACTAGAAATTGATAATGATAGTTCACATGCTGAAGATGCAGGTATATATATTGTTAAGTTCACTATTTTTATTTTATAAGATTTATTTTTATCATTAAACATTAATAGAAATAATGTCAGAGTTGGTATTTGTACAATTAGAAGAATTTCTTTTACCAAATGTCACAGAACAGGATTTGAGACGATTGACAGGATTTGAGTCTCCCTTGTCAAATGATTCAAATTTTGATACTGAACAAACATCCAGTGAAGAGGAATCAGAAGAGTCAGAGCCAGATACTCCTGCTTGTTTGAAGAAAAAAAGACCAAAGCCAACTTGGTTTGTAGTACCAGAACTTCTTCACCGTGAAATGGGCATCAATCCATCATTTCAACGTAGATATTATGGCTCCTTACACGTCGTAGAACACTTTGAACTTATGTACAAACTTAAAGAACATGAGGTACACATCTTATGTTTTAAATTCTATACTTAAGAAATTAGAATCCAATTTTTATATAATTTTTACAGGGCTGTGTTAATACCTTAAATTTTAATAAAACTGGAAATTTATTGGCCAGTGGTTCTGATGATTTATATGTAGTTATATGGGATTGGGCAATAGGAAAAAAACATCATTCTTTTGCTAGTGGTCATAGAAGTAATATGTTTCAAGTATGTATAATTAAATATATTTTGCAATGAACTTTTATTCTTAAAACATATTTTTGTATTTTATTTTATTTATTTTTATATAATTATAGAAATATATATCATTGCAATTTTTTAGGCTAAATGGTTGCCATTTGATGAAGAAAATTTAATGGCTACTTGTGCTCGTGATGGACAAGTACGTTTATTAGATATTAGACGTGGTGCATCACGAAAATTAGCTACGCACAATGCGCCAACTCACAAACTTGCACTTCATCCGGATACACCACATGTTATTGTTTCTGTTGGTGAAGATGCAAAAGTTCTATCTATAGATATTAGGGAAGAAAAACCAACGAAGTATGTTTTTTTAAGCATGTTTTTATAAAAAATATGTTGTCATAATATATAGAAACAATTTGATTGTATAGGTTGCTTGTAGTAAGAGACTCTGGCTCTTTCCATGTACAATTGTACAGTGTTCATTGTAATCCTCTTAAGAGCAATGAATTTTGTGTTGCTGGTCGATCTCAATGGGTTAGAATATACGATCGGCGAAATGTGTCTAAGCCAATGCATGAATTATGTCCTAAACATTTGGTATATTTTTAAAATTTTATATAGTTAAAAACAAAATTATATACTACTTTGCAATTTAATTTAATTTTCGTGAATTATAGACTGAGAAGAAACATGTACATATAACATGTGCTTTATACAATTATGATGGAACTGAAGTTCTTGCATCTTATAACGACGAAGACATATATTTATTTGATGCAATATCACCACAACCTGGAGATTTTGCTCATAAATATGAAGGCCATAGAAACAATGCTACTGGTATATATTATTGTTTGATAAATTTTGTAAATATAAAATGAAAATTTATATTTTCTATTTCGTAGTGAAGGGAGTTAATTTCTTTGGCCCAAAAAGTGAATTTGTTATATCTGGATCAGATTGTGGAAATATATTTATCTGGGATAAACATACTGAAGCAATCGTAAATTGGATGCCTGGAGATGAACAAGGAGTGGTATGTAATCTATTGAAAATGTAATGATAAAGCTTAATAACACTTTGTCGTATAGGTAAATTGTTTAGAACCTCATCCACATATTCCTATTCTTGCCACAAGTGGACTTGATTGTGATGTGAAAGTTTGGGCACCTTCTTGCGAAGATCCGCCTTCGCTTCGAACAGTAGAAAGTATACCCTTAATAGAAAAAGTATGTGTAATTTATGAAAATTGTCGTAGTAAACATAATATGTATCATATTATTTTTATTTTATTTCAGTGTGTTACATCTAATGCAATGAATAGGGCACAAGATACTCATACTGAATCTGATGCATTCGATAGTCAAATGTTTTGGATATTATTAAGACATATTCGTCATACGGAAAGAGTAAGATTAGTATGTATTGATTAGTAAATTAACGATTAAAAATACAATATTCTATATAAATTTATTTAATTAATTTGATGTAGAATTTAAACGCACGTCGAGGTTCTAATGATCAAAATCAGGATGATGATGATGACGATGATGATAATATTGATGATTCTTCGGATGATGATTCTTCTCATCACAGTGATAGTCAATCAGAAGGAGATGGGTTTAGAAGATTGCAATGTCCTCCATCTTAGGTATTAAAACGGACTACTATTTTACGTTTTGTACATTAATATTTATACTATGTCTTTGAATAATGTTATTAAAAATGAGTAATTATCATGAAGAGATAAATTTAAATTTTAAAAAATTTGATTTAATAATAATTTAGTACTTTGATAATACAAGTGATATGTATAATTTATTATAATTATGAAAGTTAAGGTGCGTTGAATATGTATAAAGAGTCACTAAAAGTATGTAAAATAGATGAAAATGAAAACTAATATAGTTCTCTTTCTAGTAACAACATAGTTACAATTTTGTCTTCTTCGAAAAATTAACTAAAAAAATAAGCGAATGTATCCAAATTTACATTCTTGCCTTTGTTATTTATAAGTTCAATAATAATTGAGAATAATATTTTAGTGATTTTTGCAAGATAAATTGCGTTTTGAAAATTGTGGGAAGAAAACAAAATTTAAATATCAGAATGTAACATAAAAGAAAATAAAGGATTGTTTCTATGCATAATATCGTCATTGGTACAATTTATTGTGTTATATAAAATTAATAAAAGAATTTATTACATAATTTATTAATAAAATAAGATTTATTTTGTATAGTAATACACATTATAAAGAAATAAAGAAATGGATTGAACTATTGATTTTTAAAAATATAAATATAAATATACATATTGTTCAAAAGATGCCTATGGAATGAGCAAGACCAGCATACATATATAATGTTGTAATACCCATGATAAAAGTAGTAGCAGCTTTAACAACAAGAGCTGACCATGGACCAGTTAGAAAAACTACTAAGAAAAAATCTAAAATAAGTGGCCTATAAACTGTAAGTATGAGCATACCAACTACTATTGGTACCAAACTTCGTTTTAAATCATGTCGTGACCATAACCATACAAGCGTTGCTGTAGTTATATGTTGTACCTAATATTTATGGAAAATGAAATTTTTAATAAAAATTTTCTTGCAAGTTATTAACAAAAATAGTAGTATAATATGACTTACTAAATTTATGTTAGATTCAAGACTTTTTTGAATGTATTTCCAATCAAATTCTGCACCTCTTGCTCCTACCCATAACAGAAGAAACCTAGTAAGTAATACTTCGGCTCCAGCCCATCCAACTCCAGCAGTTAGAACTTTTGCATGCCCTTTACCAGGTATATTATTTAATACTAATAGAATTCCTACTAAGTCAGCTAAATCAATTGAAGATTTTAAAAATTCCTATAAAATTTATTATATATTATATAAAATAATTAGTGATACATTTGTAGTAATAAATACAAGTCAATTAAAGATATAAATACATACGCCAATTAAATCAAAGCCTTCACCTCCAACATTATCTGCTGTAGGGAAAAAAGTAGCAAGTGCTAACATTTTGACTAATTGTGTAAATATATAAATGCCTCCAGCTTGAATACATTTCCAAAATGCACCATATTCTGACCTGAAAATTTATATACATATTTTTAAATATGTTATTTATATGATAGAGCACCAGGAATTCAATTATAATTAAAATATATTACAATTATAATATTATTAACTATAATAAATTAACTAAAAATAATTTCAGAAATAATGACCAAATAATTACAAATAGGTTACAAAAAGTTAAAAAGTTACTTACAAGCCAGAATATTTATAAGTAAGATAATATGGAACATAAACTAAAGCTAAGCAATTTCCGAAATGATACAATGTCATTTTTTTAGTAATATTACGTCAATTTAATTTAAATATCATTCATCATGCAGCAGACGATTCATACACGAACGATAAGTATCAAATGAGATTGTATACACCATAGCATAGACCACAGATATACACAACGACTATACCTCGTCTGTATTACATACGTCTATATATGAAATGAGTATGTTGATAAGGAAAACTACTGTATTTTTTATAAAATAAAAAGCAGATTTGTTATGAATATTTTGTTGTTTTTAAAATAAACTATGATTATGTGTATGTATCTATTTTTTAAGTTTTAAAACTTTATCATTTGTAATCTATAATGAAAATGAAAAGATTGCAATGCTGGTATTAAGAAAATAAATAATTTCTTTTAGGTATGTTATATTTTATATCTTTCAGTTTGTTTTATTCCTATAATATTTATTCAAAATAATGATTCTCTTACGTTTATTTTATCTATGATGTTTTTAATTTTTAGGTTAGTTTGCTCTGAATGAGGTTATTTTTTCATTTTCTATTTTCATTTCTAAATATTTAAAAAAAATAATGACTATTCTATTTGTTAATAATTTTACAAATAAATCATGGATTAATAAGTCTGTATATTTATAAATCGATGAAATACGAAAATACATTATTTATATTACATTATTCATATAATTTCGATAATTTTTAAAATGTAAAATATTTATTTTATAAATATTTGATAAGAATTGTTCGCAATGTGCGTGTACTACATTGCTATCCATGGCACAAATATTTTTTTCTTCAAATCATCCCCTATATTTTAACCCCTTTGAAAGGGGTACCAGTCACCCCTTTTATTCCTAAAAAAAGGGGTAGCTGCTAAAAAAGGGTGTTGCAGCTGGAAAGATATTGACTATGAGTTTCCAATATTTTTAATTTTTTTTATTCTTTTTCTATGATTAATTTCAATGTAATGGCATAGAGGTATACAAAAACATACAAGTATATTTTCATGAAAAAATTAGAAGCTATATGAAAACAAAAGCAAAATTTAATTCAGATTATATTATGAATTTGACAATTTCTCCTCTTGTGTGGTTAGAATTTAGAGGACACACCCCTTTAGCTATAGGATTTGAAATGTTGTGTAACGGAGCATGCTCCATCTTTTCCTTTCCCCAACGTTTCCTTCTTTCCTTTTTAAAACATATCTACCCCTTTGAACATTGTTGATGGTAGACACACTCCCTTCCCTTTTTTCCATGTGAAATCAGTAGGGCACACCCCTTTCGGTGTGAGATTTAGAATATTCCACTGGAGCATGCTCTGTCTGCAAAACGTCACAGACTGTGTCGCAGAAGCAGTCCTCCCTTCCTGACGTCTCCAAGGGATGGGTATTCTGTATGATTGGTCAGGGCTGTTCTGGGATGTGTTGAGTCCTAGGGTTGCTGTTCTCCATTACAAGTGCAGGAGGAGAGATCAGTTTAGTTCAGACTTCCATTAAGTTTGGAATAGAAAAGTGACAATTATCTGTGATGATGTGTTATGTTTAAACATAATAATAATATACATATTAGTGTAATTATAATTGTGCATTCTGTTTAAATGTAGCATTTACTTACATATATATTTCTAGTGTATATAAAATCAGAAATTAAATAAGAATAAAAAATGTTCAGAAGTTTCAATATAAGTATGATTGTATAATATAATAGTATTTCTATGCCTCAATAAATACTGAGTAATTTATTTTTTTTAGACATATATTTATTTAAATAAGTAAGATAAGTGATATTAGTCATATCTTTCTTTTTCCTTTTTGTTTATTCTATTTTTTATACTTTTTATGCAATAATGTTTTCTTTAATGTCATTATGATTATATTACTAAATAAATACTTACATTTGTAAATATATTGATCAAATTTAATCATTATGCATAAATTATTGTTTAAAAATAAATGTCAGTGATCTCAAGATTTCCAATAAAAACAAAATTGAGAATTGGTAAGTTTATGTATTTATAAGTAAAAAGATTATTTTTATTAATGTGTTTATGTAACCATTTTAGTTTCATTTCTATTTCAATATTGCATGTTACAATAGTTGTGTATATAATTATACAAACATGTGCATAGATTTACATGCAATGAAATTTGCATCTTGCTCATGGGATGTATTATTTTCATGTCACATCCTATTGTACCGATTTAGATAAGTTTTGGATCACAGCGCCCCTAGTGTGTAAAGTCTGAAGTTTAAACAATTATTTATTAATTTTTAACGAGTTATAACAACAAATGACTTAGTATGCAAGTCATTAAATTTGTCTTAAGAAGTGACTTCGAAATTTTTTTTAGGAAACTATCTGCAAGAAATAATTTACACCATACAATATAACTTTATAAGCAAGAAATATAAATATTTCTAAACAAGAAATATAGAAATATTTCTTTAATACATCCGAAGCAGATGTGACAACATTGTCCATATTTTTTGATTTTAATTCTCATCACTAGTAGTGCTGCGGTGCAAAACTGCCTGAATCGGTACGACAGGATGTGACACGAAAATAATAAGACACAGAAAATCGTGGTCGAAAAAATACATTGTATGCAATGTTTATTCATATACCTCGTCTGTGGCAATGTCTATTCGTATATCGTCTGTGGTCTGTGGTAATTATTTATTATTAATTGTAGGTAATTTTAGATATTTTTATTATAATTCTATGAGTACTCGTAGGAGGGCTCTTATGTGTATAATCTACAAATAAATGAAATTCAAATGAACGAAAATTAACGTAAAAGATAATAATTTTATTAACATTATAATAGTTGGCTACTTTAACAGTAATATTTACCAATGAACGAGTTCTATTAATTCTACTAAAAATTTATAAATTCTAATTTGTATTACGTATAAACAGTTTTGTTATGTAAAAAAACAACCAGAACTATGTACAAATTTGTAGGAAGTAATAAATATCTAAATAAATAAAAAACGTATATATTTAAACTTATGATATATTTTGCTAAACAGTAAAAATTACGTGACGCCACAGTCATGCCATAAGTTACCTTGAGAATCATATGATATAATATTAATATCATTGGTAACGTTATAGCGTTAAAATGATCTATGATTTATTGATTTCCAAATTTTTTGTAAATTTGTTCTTTCTATAAACTATTATAAATGTTACGGATATCTGCTGATATTCTACGAAACGAATATTCTTTATAACTTAATTATCACCGAAATCCACCAGTGCTATATCACTATCTTCAATTTAAATAACATTTTCTCCCATTAATAGTAAAATCATTAATTTAACTAAATTAAACTAATTTACAAAAATTTGTCTCTTAAGACGCGAGTAAGATCTAGATTGTTGTTCGCATAAGTTTTTTTTTTTACGGCTTGGATAAAGAGATTGTATTTATAGAAGATTTGAAAGAAGAAGACGATTTACATTCTCGGTTCAAAGTCGAGAGATTAACTCTATTCCTCCTTTGCCGTGTATCCTTATAAATCCACACGATATCGTCCTCATTTTTTTTCCCCGTTTGCCGCGTTCAGCAAAGCCGTGTTTGCATTTCTCTCTCCGGGGAGAGGCAGGACCACGCAATTTCCGAAAGCCGATTTCAATTCCGTTTCCTTTTACACAGAGAAAAGAAATCTCGAGTGTAGCTCTCTTCGAGGGGGGAATAGCCACCTGGGATTACAGGAATCGCGCGGACGGGGCTGGAAACACGTGCGAAAATCCCAAATCCCGACGTCTCTGCATCCCTTTGCATCGATCGTTCTTCTTTTTCCTTTGTGCCCTTCTTTCCCTCTCCCTTTCTTAGAGATATACTTTTTTGTATAAATCTACACTTTTCTTTTTATCGTTCGTGTACTTTCGTATTTTATTGCTGTATCTCGAAGCAAGCTATCTCCTTCTAGATTTCTTTAGTAAATTCACGATTCTTTCGGGAACGACGTCATGGCGGTGTATAACGATGAGGTTCGTTTCCGCTTCCTGGTCTCACAACTCGTTCCGTCAACTCCATTCTTCCACGCGCCATCCCGTGCCTTTCCCCCCCTTCATTTCTCTTCTCACTCGATTTTTCTTTGTTGTCTATCTGTTCTAAGAATTATCGAATATTTGAGCCAATTCACGTTATTTCCTTACATATTTTTTCGTATACTTTTTAAATTTATTTCTAATCCCTCCGCGTTTGCCAATAAAGAAAATTTTACATATATAATTTTCTTATATAAAATGTAAGTTTTGCTTAGATTTCGTTCGAACGTTTACAAAATAATAAAATAAAAGAAGCGTTGCACAGTTTCTCAAAATTCAGTGAGCATCTGATTTATTTTAACATATTTAACGGGCACAAGATATATCATTAATTACACAGAATACAAACATGATGTATCATATCCAAATATAATATAACAATTGAATAACGATTTTATTTTTTTATTTTATTTATCATTTGACTTTTTTTTATTCTCCGAGATTCGATGGGAAAGAAATAAAATGTAATTCGTTTATTCCGACAACATCTGGAACATTTTTGTTCGCTGGCCCACCATCTTTTCATTCCTAGTGCACCACGCATAAACACATTTTTATATGACACATGAGTTGATGTATCTTCCCCTTTCCGGGATCGGTACCGGAAGGAATAACGTCTTTTATCATGTACGATGGCATCCTCGTTGATATTCGGCCGGCGTCTTCGTTCTTCTGGGACACCGCCTTGCTACCCCGTTTCTCCTGTTTCTCTTTACTTGTTCTGTAGTGTTACATATATATGTACGTCGAAAGGTGAAGAAGATACTGATCCGCGAATGTTTCGAGCGTGTGACAAAACATTCGTTCTGCTCGTTTTATGCTAGAAAATTGTAGATAACAAGCTTTCAACCGTTTGAAAAGAACAGAACTTAACTGGTAGCAAAAGAATTAAAGAAGATCTATAACCTTGTCAAGTAAATGAATAAAAATAGAAAGTAAAAATCAGAGTTCAAGGGAGAGTTCACAAAACAAATAATATTCGTTATTTCGTTTGAATGATCGGATCGAATTGAAACAAGAGGAATTATTTGGAAATAATTCATTATATGTTTATATGTCTATTTTATTCCAAATAATATATTGTTAT